CATAGATAGGGGTATATAAAACAAACCAACACATAAATCTCATTGGCAGGGTATGAACCAACAATAAACTACAAGCGCGAATATAATAAAAATGATAACACATATGAGTCCTTAGGATCTGAAAACAAATCACCCAAGTTGTTAAGTTCCTAAGGATCATTTGGTAAGGCTTGCACTACAACAGAAACAAAGAGACTACAGCACAACACTTTAACATAAAAATTTCACAGCGGAGATTACAAATACATGATATGAATGCACAAGAAAGGTGATGGTGACGTTTGATGAGAAGAATATCACCATTAACAGAGCTCAGACTCCGAACCACCATGGACTGTATAACTCTCAATATCGATTTAACATGAAATCCACTACCTATCTAAACAATGTCCTACAAAGGTCTTTACTTTCCTCTAATTAGACGATTACTGACGTATCCAACTAGAACACAGGATAAAAATTGTAACAACAAAATTGTATACATTTCAATGACTTGCCAAAAAAATAAAAAAATACCTAGCTAAAAGAGATATTTGTAACTTTTAAAACAATAGAAATTAAATGAAAAAAAGCTTGGCACATCACTGCAAGAAAAGGTATGAACTCAAAATCGACAGTTTTAAAAATTTAACAGATCAGAACTTTTTGTACTAGATATCTAAAAAATCTTCTTTGAGCATGTGATTGTCAAGAGATTCACAATTTTATCAGACCTTTAGGATTACAACCATGGATTCATTACAACAATCTTTACTTAAAAAGTTCTTCCTAAGTCAATCTAAAAACACAACACACAATCTTAAATTTTTCTCATTACTAATACAACCCCACTTAAAAGTATGCCAAATCTCCATTCATTACCTATCAAAGTCAGCAACCAACTGCTACCATTTGGTTTGAAAAACATCATTCCCGTCACAAAATTTTTTAAAAAGGAAATTCCCACTGTTTTAATAATACTTGTGTCACAACCTGAATTCAAATTTGGCTTGGCACAACACAAATTACAACGGATCAAAAAATTACATTCTTTAACAAAGAATAGCAAAAATTTGGTCCAGAATTACAAACCTTCAGAATCCATAATGGCCTTGTGGGCTTTTTTTACCCTGTGATATAGTCGCAAAATCTACAGAATTTAAATTACAAAACAAAATAGGAGTGTTTTACTTTTAAATAGAAATCATCAGTAAGATCCAATCCACTCCTTATCAAGCCATTCTCCATCCTTACAAATTCATGCCTCATCAAACAAGATACGGAAAGTTTACAGCATGGTTTCGGTTGGCCGGCGATGTTGGCTCAACTCTTTGCACCAAGCGCACGCACACCACGGCCAGGCTCCACTGCAAATGACTGAGTTAGAAAAGTGACGCCTAGCAGAGTCCAGAGTGACGTGGTGCGCGAGTTTATTCTATGGTTGCTGCTGCAACATTTGTGCTTGCATCTTTGCAAGCATTTCTTGCATGCGTTTAAGTTCAGCTTCTTTTTCCTGTAGGATGCGGTCTTTTTCTGCAGGAATGATAGCACCATCCATGGAGCTACAAAAGAGAGACCAGGAAATTATTGAAAAAAGTGGAAGCATTTTCAAGAAAATGTACAAGTCAACTAAGGGTTAAAACTTACGGAACTTTCTTTGGCATGGGAGCACCTTTGGCAAGGCGTTCAGATCTATAATTTTCATAGTGTACTTCTTGAGTCACTTCTTGTAAGTCTTGCATGTGTGTGCTGAAAATAATAAAGACCGTGGCATAAAGACTTGTGACAAACTTAAATATTTCCACAATTAATATTTTGTTTACAAAGGAAACCTACATAAGCATGGTCCTTAATTTGATGAAATCACAGTGGTCTGGATTTTCAACTTCCACTACACCCCATGGATACAGGCGACCGCGGACTTTGCGGCCACGAACCTCAAGCATAGCATTTGCCCCACAGACAGCAAAAGGAACAGCTTCTTTCAGTTGACGAACCTGGTTTGCAAAGTATGATCATAACTGAGCAACAGGACACAATTAAAACTAAATGAAGAAATCAAACACTTAAAACATAGATGACTGACCTGTTCTTTGTAATCCTCATCTTCATCACTATCACAATCTGGAAGAGGATAGATCTTAATCTCATTCTTTTCAATTTCCTCCATTACCCTTTTCTTTAAACGAAGCATTTCCTTCTTAGTCAGAACATCAGCTTTGGCAATTACAGGAACTATGTTCACTTTATTGTGAAGCTGTTTCATGAATTGGATATCCAGTGGTTTTAATCTAGGAAAAAAAAGGCAATTGGATTTAAAATAACATCTCTTGAGAACATTGCTATACAATCAAACTTCTGTACCAGGTGGCTGACAAACCCCGCGCACTTTGGTATACAGTGCCGCATGCAGGAGTGCGGGCAGGTTGCCTACTCGCTCCGCCCGTAAGGCGCCGTGGTCAACGACGATAAGCAAACCCGCCCTCCTGAATGCGGTAGAGTATAACTACAAAAGTGCTCAGGGTAAATCAGGCACTCGATATAATCAGGCCTTACCCATGACCAAATGGAGATATAAAGTAGAAGCAGCAATGAATGCGATTGTCAACAATGTTACGCCGATTCAAACCACTCTCATCGCGGAGGAAACGTTCAAACTGATCATCGATGTACTGAATAATTGCACGGAAACTGGAAATTAAAATTTCATGAAATTAATGAGAAACTGGAACCAATCCAACGCAGTACTATTGACAGTTTGCCACACTCACCAGTCTGTGTTATCGATGGCATCTCCGAACCCAGGGGTGTCAACTACAGTCAGTCGCAACTTTACACCACGCTCTTCAATCTCAACGGTCGACGCGTCCAGCTTTACGGTCTGAGTTGCTTTTTCTGCAAGGGAGAGAATTTGAATGTATTGAGGAGAGAGAGAGAAAGATATATTGGTAGAGGCTGGTGCTGGTGGCATTTGTGGGGAATTCCGGAGGAGTTCCACGAGAGGGGGAGGGGCGGGAGGCGCAAGGGGTCTGCCCCTGAACACGTCACGAATGGTGCAGTGCAGGTGCACAGATCAGATTGGTGAGGGCAGGCGCGGCGGGCGGCGGGGCGCTGCTCCGAGCTCTCTGATACTATTCCTAAACAACCGTAAACAACCCGCCGCCACTCGCCTGAGCGCGCGGCCTGGGCTGGCGGCTAGGGGGCACGGGGGCGCACACGCACACTCGCACAGCTTGCACGGTGCGCGGGCCGCGCGTCGGCCTTGGGCCCCTCGGGCGGTCACAGCCCCCGCGGCGGGCGTGGCCCGGGCCCAATCCAGTCCGGTAAACACCAGCATGGGATGAGGAGTGTTCAGATCTCTTGCCATCTTGCCACATATAGACGCGACTTGAGAGCCATGTATACCTCAGAAGCGCCGCTGCACGATTGGGCCGAGGGAGAGTGGGGCTCAATACGACAAACCCTCCGGCCGCCCGCACCCAGCTGACGGTAACGGGACGGCGTGCTTCCGTCGTACCCACATGGCCCTACCGTACACCTGTAACGCCCACCGCGGGTACCGCAATCCCATTTCGGAAG